GTCATTTAGAATGAAAGAGCATAATTTATATTTATTCCTAATTTTTATGGTGGTTACAAGATCGGTCAAATTTCTGAACCCATTCAGAGATTAATTACTGAAAATAACAGATAGAATGTAAAGTTTTTTCTTAAGAAACATGTGATAACTATGTGGACATTATAAAGATTTTGCATGTGAAATTTGAAAATTTTCTGATACATAAAAGTATTTTTAATCTTAAAGTGAAAATTACTTTGCATGTTGAATAGGCAACATGTGAAAAGAAGAAAAAAAAGCATAAGAAAAACGTTGCTTAACAAACCTTAAGACTTAACAAAAAATGTAATATATTTTGCATATGGAAGCATTGTAATGTTAACTGATAATCTGCCAAATTTTGTTAACATACACTTACTAATTTAAAAGTTATATCATGAAAACTATAATAAGCACAAAATGGTTACGAGGTCAGTCCCTGGGACCAAGCCCGTGCTGAAAGAGTTAAACAAATAGAAGAGAGTTACTAAGGGTCCAAGATTTGGCAAAACAATTTAAATCTTTGCAACTTCACTTGTTACAGAGAGTTACAGGATTCATAGATTCAAAGTACTAAAGTAATTTTTTGTTTTAATTTTTTCAACTTAGAAGATTTGTGCAAAATGCAAACTACAAGTCAGCAAATGAACAAAACCTACAACAATATCTGTTCAGGCTCATCAAAAAGTCAACAACAGATTACAAGTGCAGTGACAACCCTAGAAAATGGTATTTATTTTCAGTGTCCAAAACTCAGCTCTCAGTTGTCCAGTGGACAAGCTCTGTCTTCCTGCAGCAATAGATGTTCAATATGGAGACCTCTACTTTTATTTATACCCCTTAGACTAGGCCTAACTGACATTAATCCCTTGTATATAAAAGGTTTAAAGGTAATTACTTACTTCACTAAATGTACTTTGTGTTTTACATTTTTAAGTTGTTTTTTTATTCATATGAGATTTGTGTATTAATCTGTTGTTAGAAACTGAATTTTTTGAAATCATAAGACTATAAAAAAGTCTTAGTTTTTATATAAATTTTTGAAATTTATTTTTACTAATGCTGTTTTGTTTTTTGATTTAATTGTTTATGTAACAAAATTATTCTAACTAAGTATTTATTACGGTTAACTTATGTTCATAAACCTTTTTTTAATACCACTATAATGTCAAGTAAGTTGAGAAATTGAAGAAGATAAGAGTACCAAAATTTTATCTTCCTTTTCTTACAGACTACATTTACACTTAAACAATCTCTAGGAATCATAGGAGGACGACCTAACCATGCTCTTTACTTTATTGGTGCCATAGGTGAGCCAATTACCATTTACATTTTAGTGTATTATAGTACATATTATATATTATAGTACACATATTTAGTGAGTGGAACAACCTTAAAGCTATCTGCACAAGCACAGTGAAATGAAGTTAAAAACATTTTCAACTCCCACTCTGTTTTTTCTTCAGTTGTAATAGACAGTGATGCCAAAAGGATGGCAAAAAAATTTAAGTGAGCATTTCAAGACATCTCCCATAATTCATCAAATGAACAATATTATGCTCAACTGTACACCATTCCTTTAAATTGTGTAAAAGTATTGTAACAGCCAAAAATTATTTATATGAGGATGCTGAAATACTTTGGGTTCTGCTACTTCACTTAGTAAAATGTCAAAGATATTAATAGATGTTAGTAGAACCTATGCAATAAAAAAATATAAATACCAACAAAGACATACTTACTACAACATAGATTAAATATGTAGACTGAAGAAGTGAACATATGATGCAAGTTCTTGAAAAATCATAATGAAATTTGTATTTCTTCAGATTTTTTTAATGTATTCACTTTTTCTTTTAACATCTTGTATTGATTATTAGGTCATTTGTTGTTTTCCTACCAAGAATTATTTTTTTGTGATAAGTAAAAGTATTCATGTAGTTGAAATTTCTTAAACTGTCTCATTTATATGCAGGCATGTCACTTAGACCACTGAAAATGGTGCTTTTTTTCATGAATAACTATTTATTTTTTTAATGATGAATTTGTATCTCATGAACTTTGGCTATTAAGTACCATTTACATTGTCGTTACAATAATGATATTGTACTATTTTAATGTTTGTACATTTGTATCAAATAATGGTCAGCATATCATAAACTTATACAAATTAATTTGTTTTGTAGGGAATGAGGTGGTATTTTTGGACCCACATACCACCCAGCCAGCAACTGTCCTAGATACTGATTCTCCCAGTGATGAGAGCTATCACTGTTGTTATGCAAGCAGAATGGATGTTAGTCAGTTGGACCCTTCCATTGCATTGGTACTATTGTAAAACATTTTGTGTTATTCTTTAGAAATGAAATTGCAATATATAGTGTGTCTGAAAAAGTCTGGAACCATAGGCAATTTGCAGCTTTTTTTAATTTCAGATATGTGACTGATTATGGAGCTGTCAAAGCATGAGAAAGTTGATATAATTCTGCTGTTACTCCAAACGTATTTCGAATTACAAGGACAGCGTGTGGAACACATTCAGTAAAATTTGTTGAAATGTCTATTGTTCCAGACTTTTTGGATACCCTGTATATGTATATATAGTTAAACTTTTAAAGTACATTTGGGTGTATATATATATATATATATATATATATATATACTATGATGACGATATCAGTTTTGAGAGGTTATAAAAATTAACTGAAATACAGTGGTTTGACATTTCAAAACTTTTGTTACTGCCATGTTGAATTTCTGATAGTGTTTCTGAACAAGTCATAAAAATTATCTGAAATACAGTGGTTTGACATTTCATAACTTTTGTTACTGGCATGTTGAATTTCTGATAGTGTTTCTGAACAAGTCATGAGATCAAAATTTTTATTAACAGTTTTTTTAATTTGCTATAGTCATTTGTATAAGTAGGTTTAATTCTAGAAATTTAAGGAAAGTAAGCTTTGAAATATTAATTCTGATACGATATCTTACCTCTAACAAAAACCTTTCTCGGTTAGTACTGCCCTCTGTTGGCAAAAATTTTTTGCTCATCACTAGCCTTGTAACCCCCACTTCTTTCTGCATATGTACATGCAAATGATCATGCAGCAACCCTCCACCAATGGGAGTGCGACACTACCCCTATTGTAACTAGTGCCCTTTCTAATAATGCACCTATTAATCACTTCTTGATTAGCAGTCTTACTGTACAGATGTATTTCTTTTTGCTCACAATTTAGTTATTACATTCACAAATATTTGCTTTTGAGTGTTTTCTAATTCAGTCACTGCCATTTTTCCCCTTTTTTAGTGGAGAGTCACAATTTATCTCTCATTATCTACTCTACCTTTTCTAATTTTTCAACTTTGTGAGTTATGCACTCACAGTTTTGGGTGATCGTAGCTACCACTGATGTTACTGCTATGGTGGACTTCCTGTTCACATTGCAGGGGCAATAACACAGTTGTAGGCCAGGGGTGTGATGGCTAAGTTCCATCAGGAATTGTACCATTTTTGGCAACGTTCTGTATAACCTGTTGAGTAGCCTATCATACTAACACCTATGTGTGTCTGAATGTATGGATGTGACTTAGGGCAGTTTGTTTTTCCCCTCCTGAATATACTTTTCTGTCATGTGTCATTTAGGGTGGGATTATTGAGGAATAATCTTTAGGTCTTCTTTGGTTTTCATTCTTACTCAGATAATGAGGTTCATGCTCATTGTTTTGCGGTGCACTTGCATTTGGGGGTCGATATGCTTTGTCCCCCAAGTATGTTGGCCTATAATGTTTTTGCTTTCCTCATTCCACCTTCCCATAAATTGCCTCACACCTTTTTTTTTTCTCTTCCAATGTGGGGTTCAATCTCTTATGCTTCAGTTGCCTTTCCCTATATCAGAACTTTCTCATTCATTTATTCTGTTATCCATTATTGCCTGTGCTTTATCTTACCTTCACCTTTTGGTTGGGGGGGAGGGGGAGCTCTATGTTTTTTTATATTGTTTTTCTGTTTGTCTGTGTTGTCTCCTTTTTGCTACAGTGGCACACATTTCTCTTCAGCCTTGCTTTACTGATGTGGCTGCTATGAAGTTGGGTTCTTCTAGGGTGGAATCCTGTTTTCTTTAGGGTTCTTTTACCCTCCTCTTCACTACGTATATTGTGCATGGCACCTTTTTTTGTGTCACAAAGTGTTGGGGGTCTTCCTACCTGTTTGGAGACCGGGGTTGTTTCAGCAAGTCTCCATACCTCCATTTCCATTTGTCTCCCCTGTTATATCACCATCCACATTATTTCACCCTCAGTGGGATCCAATTTTTTTCCAGCATCAATCAAAGGTGTACATTTCCAGATGCTGCCAGGTATTGGTTGAGGTAGAATTTCCAGGGCAGTACTAATCGAGAAAGCTTTTTGTGAGAAGAAGTATCTATTTGGAAATACATTTTCAGTTTAGGAAAATGTTAACATTTCTAACATAACATATAGCATGATTAGATAGGAAAATGGTGTAAAAAAATCAATGATTCTTTTTACAATCAAAATATGGTATTTAGCAAAATATTTTCAAATTAATTTTTCAACCTAGAAACTGTGGCTATTGCATATTCTCTAGGAAAAAAACACATTATCTTCTTAAATATGACATCTATTAATAAATTTCAAACAGATACTTTATTTTTATTCATAAATCTTACATTTATTTGTGTTTTTAATTAGGAAATACCAAAATAATTATTATTTATATTACATATACTATAAAAAAAAGTTGATCAAGTCATCCCATACGCTTAATACTTCTATGAAGATGTCCTTAACTGAGTTGTTTATTAAAATATATATGAAAAATAACTTTTTTTTAACATAACCTTAACTTATGTACATTTAAATTTCATGTTATAAAACTTGGTGAAATATTATGGTATATGTGTTTAGTTGGACTAATTTTGTATCAAATCCAGTGTTTCTACTGTAGAAGTGAGGCAGATTTTGACAACTGGTGTAACCATGTTTATAAGGTAAGTAGCTGTTGTAGTTCTGTACGTGTGAATGTTTTATATATGCACGGCATATATTTTTATTCATTTAGGGTTAAAATTGTCAAAAAGTATCAGAAATTAAGAGTAAAGGTTTTTACTGCAGAAAAATGTTGTTTTAGGAAAGAGCATACTTATAATAAAAATATGTAATGTACAGAAATGTATTTTTATTTGTTTTGAAATATACTATTTCCTTAAAAGATGGCATTTATAAGGTTGCTAGAAGTTAACAGAATGAATTAGTAAAAAGTTTCAAAGTTTGCACAGCATTTTTTTATTTTGTCTGTTTCATTCATTCCATTTGCTTACTGTGTTGGGAAAATCCAACTGGATGGTTGTGTCAGAATATTAATTATTGGAACATTCTAGAATATTACCTGGGAATAATGTTTACACTTATTATCTTAGACTGTTTCGTCTTTGTCCCTAAACTTCACAAGAGGGTAATCACAAAAAAGTCTTAGATTGAGTACAATTTGCAGTATGATTTTATTTAAAGTAAGTATTTTATTAAAAAAAATAATGTATTATTAAAACCTTGTAACTTAGTATATATATATATATATATATATATGACAATGTACATAAAAAAATATTTTAAACATGAGAAGTTATATCTGTCAGTACTGTATTTTCTTGAACAGTTTCCAAGATACAGATCTTATACTTGTTATCATTGATATCTCTTTAACTTCTTTCACTGTTTATTATTTGTAATGTGTACAATCTCTTATGAAGACGATGTGACATGATTAATCACGTTTTAGGTTTTTTATAGGGATAATCCAAGTTGATTGAGCTTTTTGTAAGGTGTACTTAGAACATCTGAGTCAATATTCTGATTAAATATCTTTCTATGTTCAGATTTTTGTCTTTGTACTTGGGATACTTATCTATTTTTACTCTTCCCTACATTGTAGTGGACTTGATCCTTTTTTTTTCTTGGCAGTACTGTAGAGTTTTATTTTGTTTTGTTTTGGTGTTTTTTTCTAATTAATTATTGTTGCTATGTTGGTCATTAATTTAGATTTTAGTGTAACTAATCAGTACTGTCTTCCTTCTGCTTCTGGCCACACAAGAGCTAGGTATTAAATACTGACTTTTCTCTTCAACCTAATTTAAGTTGTTTGGTGTTTATTTAATGAAGCCTTTTAATACTATCAAGAATTTTATTTAGATTTAAAAAGTACATGTGGCTAAAGCTGGTTAGACTAAGGTTATTCTAAATGTGACTTACCACATTCCAGTATCATGTGAAGATGTTTCTAATCTTATGATGTAATACATTAAAGAGGTTAAGAATATAGAAAGATTGATGAAAACAAGTATCTTATCAATTGACCAGGATTCTAGAATAGCTAAATATTGCTTTGAATTTTAGTTTAAAATGGGGAGAGGGTTAAAGAAAGCTTCATAAGCATCCTATAGATACTGTATTTGTAACTAATGAGCAAGTACACATGTTAAATAATGAAAATATTGGAAAATACTGCAGGTAATATATATAATCCTTCTCAGTAACATTCTATATAAAATCTCATAATCTTACCAAATGTGAGTTCTATTTATGATGATTTGGAGTATTTAGTAATTAATGAAAATATAATGCATTGTGAAAAATGTGCTTGAGTTAAAGATAAAGCCTCTCCTTTTTCTAATCCGGTAATTTATCCAAATTCGGACTCTGTAATATAATACTTCATTTGACAGAGTAAAACTTTGGCTTTCTATTGGTTATAAACAATGTAGTCTTAAATGTCAGAGAGAGTTATTGTCAAGTTCAGATGAAAACATTATAATGAGTAATTTACATTAAATTTCAGTAGATAACAAATGTCACGGTTGTTATATCAGGGGAGATTGAGAATTTTTTTTATATTTCATTACAAAATAAGAAATTAAAACTTAAATAAAACTTTGATTTATTATCTACATTCTGATGCCAAGTATATTCATATATATTCATAATATAGCAGTTTAATTAAATTTTTAATGTAAGTCTGTGAAAGGTTGCGACATGCACACTTTGACCTACCAGAGGTGAAAGGGTTAATTAACATGGCTTTATTTTTATGCAATTTATTGTCATTGATGAAACCTGTTAGAAATTGATTGTGGACAGCTATGTGCAAACTGTATGCCATTTAGTTTGTTATAGTGCAAAGTTTGAAGCAAAGTACTTGTGCTTCCCTTGTTTATGGGGTGTTTTGTATTCGGTACATGGGGGGGTCAAATCTTATGTGTCCCAACAATTTCTCATGTCTATGGGACCTGGGAAATTGGGTTAACTAGAACCCTGTCATGGTATGAATACATGTTTAGTAGCTGATTGAAAAGCACATTGAAGTGCTTTGTTAAGTGTTGAGTTTTGAGCTATGATTAATATTTTTTTCACTATTAGTAATTTTACTTTGAATTAATCAAGGAAAATTATTTTTACAACAGCTAAAAAAAGGATTGGTATTTTATTGTATATAAAGATATGTTTTTTTGTGTAATACAATTCACAGATCTTGGGCTTGTGGCATGTAAGTGTAATTGAAAAAATGACCAAATAGTATTTAAAAGAAAATGTTTTTTTTTTTTTCAAATTTACAGTGTGAAAATAATTTCCATTGTAATGTACATGCATCCGTGTTCTTATTGTAAAAGGCAACGATATAATTATTTTGTAAGCCTGACATGCTGCAAATAAGGAAAGATAATGGAATGCCATAAAGTTTTTTAAGGATAAAAATATAAAGAATCACAAAAAAATTGTTTTTTTAAGTGCTTTATCTCAGACCAGTTTTTCCATAAGTCGTTTTTTTCTAACAGCTCTTGATAGCTAGTGAGAAACAACCATTGTTTGAACTAAGTAAAGAAAGACCATCACATTGGCCATCTGTTGAAAGTGAGCAAGCCCAGGGAGGAAGTACTAGTCTTGGTAAGTTGTTCTTGTTTGTTTTGTGAAATGTAACATTTGTACACTATTATTGTCTTTTGAAACACAAATATGAAGTGATAAGAGTGTAGCCTTGTTTCATTTAAACTCTTCAGTTATCTAGCACACAGTTGTTTGTGTCAAGACATTTGATGAGATTTTGCAGGTGTAGTAAATAGCTTTCAGTGTGATAACGATTATTACTACTGGTATGTTATAGGACTTAGTGATATCCTTATCGTTTTACTATTGTTTTGTATGAATATTCAGAATTTCATTAAAGGTTTTCCTCAATTATAGTGTAGTTCTTAATCTGTTCTTGATAATATCTTGTGTTGTTGAGATAATGAAATACATATCTTCGATATTTTAATCAGTAACTGTGTATGAAGGAGAGAAAGGGGTGTAGTACTTCCTGTATTTTTCATTTCCCTGTGGAACCTATTAAAAAAATAAGGCAGATATTTTTTTATTTAATATGGTGTTTTTATCTGTAACATGGAATTTTATTGAATCAGCTTAGAGGTACATTTTTACTTTTCTTTTGTCTCTTAGACAAATGTGGGGTCATGTAATTTGTTTGAGATGTTTAAAGTTTTTGCAAACTTTTAGGCAGATATGGTAGTTTGTTTAGCGTTTTATTTTCACTTCATATGTTGTATACACTCATAAATATCATTAAGTGTTAACTAAAGCAGTAATAGAGAGATGTGCAAATTACCTAAGTTTTGTATTTATTTCAGACTTTTAGTGCATCACAATAATTTGCTTCTTTTGGTGATGGTTACTTACTCAGTTGTTATTGATACTATAATGTTAAGTTTTACACTACTCTAATTGGTCATGATACTATAGTGTTAAGTTTTACACTACTCCAGTTGGTTATGATACTATAATGTTAAGTTTTACACTACTCCAGTTGGTTATGATACTATAATGTTAAGTTTTACACTACTCCAGTTGGTTATGATACTATAATGTTAAGTTTTACACTACTCCAGTTGGTTATGATACTATAATGTTAAGTTTTACACTACTCCAGTTGGTTACGATACTATAATGTTAAGTTTTACACTACTCCAGTTGGTTATGATACTATAATGTTAAGTTTTACACTACTCCAGTTGGTTATGATACTATAATGTTAAGTTTTACACTACTCCAGTTTGTTATGATACTATAATGTTAAGTTTTACACTACTCCAGTTGGTTACGATACTATAATGTTAAGTTTTACACTACTCCAGTTGGTTATGATATCATAATGTTAAGTTTTACACAACTCTGGTTGGCAATATGTTATAAAGTTGACCATAATTTTTTGGTATTTAACATTATTGATTGAACCTTTTTTTCTTGTTTAATTTTGGTGTTGGATTGAACTTTATGTCAAAATTTTGAAAAAGTGTACATTTGAGTCTTTCTAGTCTTAAGTGTTCATTTAGGAACTATAATTTATCTAATGTTTGTCCTCCTTCCCACAACTAATTGATTCAAACTATAAATTACATTTTGGAGAGTAAAGTCTTATTTGCACACCTTCTATAAAGAAGGATCACTGTTATTCTTTTGGTTAGTACAACACATAAAAGTGCATACTGTGACTGAAGGGTAGTTCTCTGTGAATAAAGGAGCATTAGTCATACCATTTTGTACAAACAATAAAACAGTAGCCATATTCATATTGGAAGGAAACTGGTACTGATCAAAGTTTTATTTTTCAAATGTATATTATGATAGTTAATGAAGTCATCATCTGAAGTAGAACATACATTATATTTCTATTCATAACAAATATAGGTTGTAAATACCATATTAATACAGCCTCTACATATCTATGTTAAAAGTGTATAAATACCCAATTTACACATTGTGTTATATATGTGTGTGTAATTAGAAGAAGAAAAACAATTTCTTCATTGTATACTTTCTAACTATACTTATAAGTTAATAAATGTTACAAACTTAACAACTTAATTGTCATAATACAAAACATTCATCCTTCTTTACTTAATAAGTAGAACCAAAATACAAAAATGCATTCTAAAAATATTGCTATTTCTAAGGAAAAATTATTCTTTTATCTTGTGTAACTCTTGCTATATCATACTAACTTTATAAACAAATTGTAACATAGGGATTTAATCACTCTAAAGTTTGGATATAGCTTGAATGGGTAAGGAAAGAAACTTTATTACAAGCAACAAATGTACAACATTCAACAAGTTTCTGTTATCATCAGGTACAAGTAGTTTATACAGACAAAGGAATATATATATATATATATATATATATTATACTA